GTTTACTCCACCATTTTCACCCGCCCTCCCTACCCCTTATATAAGAACCATGAGGTTCACAAGACCAGCTGGGTCCTGACCAACTGGGTCACCTGCCATGACGGCTCATAGGGTGGCAACACACGCATGACCTTGTCTTGTTTAACACAATCAGTCGAGGTATGTAATCCATTCTGAGTTTTTGGACCACTGACTCAATGCTCGCCCCTTTGGGGGAGTTGGATCAGTGGCAGGTTTTCTACGTGTCTCTTTGGCAACTTGGTTTACGGGCGTAGCTGGACTGAAGTTATGCTGGACAGGTTACTTTGATGACTTCTCAACCCTTTCTAGACCCGAGTTACAAAACAATACAGCTTGGGCGGTGGATAGCTTGTTTGGCCTTATAGGTCTGGACTATGCCCGTGAGGGCGCGAAAGCGCCAGACTTCTCTCCACTTCAAGATGTTGGGGATACAGGTTGACACTTCGCGAGCTCAACAGGGCAAAATAGCAGTGGGCCACACAGCTGAGAGGAAGCTTGAGCTTGGACAGGCTTTTGAAGAGACGCTTGCAGGAAAGGAAGTTGTCTACGAAACTAGCGGAGAGGTTGCGGGGGCGCATGGTTTTCTATGAGTGTTTTGCAGCCGGCAGGACAACCAACTTGCTATTGAAGAACTTTGGAAACTTGTGCAGTCCCGGACGAATGTGAAATAATTCTTGCCTTGAAAGGGTCGCTACAGCAGAGCCAATAGTTATTTCTCCCAGATTTCTGGACACTTGGTATGTCTTCACGGATGGTGCTTGTGAAACAGACGACACTGGGAGGAAAATTGGCGGAGTTGGTGGGGTCCTGGTCTCAGCCAATGGGACCTACTTACAACACTTTGGAATGCAGGTACCTGAGGATTGGATGCAGATTCTTCTTCAATACTCTTCTCATCCAGTGCACGAACTGGAGGTGTTGCCCGTCCTAATCTCTTTCCATGTTTGGTCCAACTTCGTACGTGGTTCGCAAGTGCTTCACTACACAGATAACGACTCTTGTCGTTTTGCTTTGATGAAGGGAATTGGAGAAACCCCTGTTGCCAAATGCCTTGTCGCCTCAATCATGGAACGTGAATACGCACTCCAATCGAAGTCTTGGTACGGCCGTGTGCCAAGCCACGGCAATCCTTCAGACGATCCTAGCCGTGGATCATTCGATGCCTTGGTTGCGAGAGGCAGCCAATGTCGGCATCCCTTGGGGCGAGCTGTTGTCTTGCCTGCCATCCCGAATGGGGGAGAGGACGGGGAGTCACGACAAAAGCCCCGTGGTGTGAAAAAGAAGGAGTCCGATTCAACATGTCAGCTTGCTTGATTTTGATTTTCAGTGATGTGACATGTTGTGGTTTGCTGTGCCGATTTCATTTGTGGAGTTTGTTTGTTTTATTTTCGTGGCGTATCGACGACGGCGTATGGCGTGACGTATCCGGATATCATGTATTGATATATGATCGTATGATATCTCTTGATATATACTTTACATGGTCACATGTTTTACTTGATACATGTGCGTTGGCAGGCGTGGCGGTTTTGTGTGGCAGGTGTGGCTGCTTTTGTCCTAGTTAAATAAGGGTGCCCACCGTTGAGGTACGAAAAAGGATAAACCTTTATTTAAAATGGACTTCCGTTTCTGCTTTGGAACTTTGGGTTACGAAGAGAAACTGCAGCTTAACTCCTGTTCCTTTCTTTGCTCTGTGACAAATCCTTGCCAGTGCCAGGTGAAGTTTTAAAACAGAACGGTAAAACATTGTTGACCACTTTCTTGTTCTGAAACTGTTTGGGAAGTTAGACAAACGAGTGTGGGTTGCAAAACAAACGTGTTCACTTGAAACATGGTCACTTACAAACACGTTGGGAAATGAATACTTGTTTGTGGTGGCATTTTGGTTTCAAGTGTTGTTGGGCGCGTGTTTTGCCAATGGTTGGCGAAATTTCGACCCTCCCCGCGTTGCTCCCACCCAATTTCCCCAAATTTTTTCTTTCAACGAAGAGGATTGCATCCATTCGTTGCTAATTTTCCAAACGAAGAGGATCACATCCATTCGTTTAGCCTAACCCAACCGTCCGAGGACGGGGAGTCACGACAAAAGCCCCGTGGTGTGAAAAAGAAGGAGTCCGATTCAACATGTCAGCTTGCTTGATTTTGGTTTTCAGTGATGTGACATGTTGTGGTTTGCTGTGCTGATTTCATTTGTGGAGTTTGTTTGTTTTATTTTCGTGGCGTATCGATGACGGCGTATGGCGTGACGTATCCGGATATCATGTATTGATATATGATCATTTGATATCTCTGTGCACGAGCTTGATCGGTTTTGTTCACTAGCAAGAAACCGGCCTCTGTTTTTGCAAAACCCGCTTTAGTTTAACCTGGAACTTGGTTTCATCCTTTTCCTGGTTTTTCGGTTTTGCTGGGGTGACCCGGTTTATGGCTGCCATTTTGGGTCAAGCTGGGGTGGAATGTAGACCGCTGTTCTACTTCGTTTTCCATTTTTGGCCATGGACCGACAGGTTTTGGGATGATCAATTTTCATTGCCCTTTTTGGAACCTGTATTGACTTCTATGGCATGTTTTGGAAGACGGATTCTTTGTGCAGTTTTGGATTTATGAATTCTGTTGATGCACCGGTGTGCGTGGTCAAACGGTTTAGAAAACAGTGTCCAGCTGCACCTGAAACACCACCTGTCACAGAACTTCATCCTGGATCACCAGCAGGTTCTTTTGAATTGGTTACAGGCGAGGCGGGATCTCCTGAGGTGGCTTCTTGGCCAGAACTTGATGCCCTGAGCTCGATTGAACCTGTGGACCTTTTTGCTGCTGAATCTGACCCGGATGTAGCTTTTCAACCTCGTTGGACTGCTTTTGGGGATTATGACTTCTCTTATCAACCTGGAGGATCTTCAGACCCCTTGGCAACGGCTGGACGTAGGTCGATCTGGTTTGGCTCCTCGAGCTCTGCACCATGGCAGCCACCTCAGAAATAGCCGCGTACATTTTTTGCACCAGATTTTCATCATGCTGCAATGTTGTGGAAACCACCTCCTGCCGTTCGTAAGCCAAGGGTCTCATTGGAATCCATTGTACAACAAGCGGTTCAATCAAAGACATTGTCATCTCCTGTCATTTTTCCCCAGAGCGTCTGAGCGCAGGGTTCTTCCAATAGTGGGGGTCTGTATCTCATCTTCTCATCTTCACATCTTCACATCTTCTCACTTCACATCTTCACATCTTCTCATCTTCACATCTTCTTATCTTCACATCTTCTCATCTTCACATCTTCTCATCTTCACATCTTCTCATCTTCACATCTTTTCACTTCACATCTTCTCATCTTCACATCTTCTCATCTTCACATCTTCACATCTTCACATCTTCTCATCTTCACATCTTCAAATCTTCACAGCTGCTCATCTTCACATCTTCGCATTTGCTCATCTTCATACCTTCTCATCCTCACATCTTCACATCTTCACATCCTCACATCTTCACATCCTCGCATCTTCACATCTTCTCCTCTTGCCCTCTTGCCCTCTTGCCCTCTTGCCCTCTTGCTCTCTCCTTCTTTTCTATTTCTCTTCTGAAGGCGGGGGCAGGGGCAGTGCCAACGAGACGGCACGAAACGCAACCTTTTCGCACGAAACGAGGTTCGATCGCCAAAAACTGAGGTAAATTGCGATTTCAACTTGTCCGGCGTAACCCTTTCGCACGAAACGAGGTTCGATTCGATCGTCAAAAACTGAGGGAAAATTGCGTTTCCAACTTGTCCGGCGCAACTCTTTCGCACGAAACGAGGTTCGATCGTCAAAAACTGACGTAATATTGCGATTTGAAGTGTCCCGCGCAACCCTTACGCACGAAACGTGGTTCGATCGCCAAAAACTGAGGTAAAATTGCGATTGCAAAGTATCCGTCACAACCCTTTCGCACGAAATGAGGTTAGATCGCCAAAAACTGAAGTAAAATTGCGATTTCAACTTGTCCGGCGCAACCCTTTCGCACGAAACGAGGTTCGATTCGATCGTCAAAAACTGAGGGAAAATTGCGTTTCCAACTTGTCCGGCGCAACTCTTTCGCACGAAACGAGGTTCGATCGCCAAAAACTGAGGTAAAATTGCGATTGCAAAGTGTCCGTCACAACCCTTTCGCACGAAATGAGGTTCGATCGTCAAAAACTGAGGTAAAATTGCGATTTCAACTTGTCCCGCGCAACCCTTCGCACGAAATGAGGTTCGATCGTCAAAAACTGAGGTAAAATTGCGATTTCACTTGTCCCGCGCGGCCCTTTCGTACGAAACGCGCTTCGATCCCCCAAAACTGATGTAAAATTGCGATTTGCAATGTGTCCCGCGAACTCTTCCGCACAAAATGAGGTTCGATTGTCAAAACCTGAGGTAAAATTGCGATTTCATTTGCCCCGCAAACCCTTTCGCACGAAATGAAATAGTCTGTGTGTACAAGCGTCTGTGTGTAAAAGTGATTGTGTGTAAAAGCGCTTGTGTGTAAAACCGTCTGTGTGTAAAAGCGTCTGTGTGTAAAAGTGTTGTGTAAAAGTGTTTGTGTAAAACCGTCTGTGTGTAAAAGCGTCTGTGTGTAAAAGCTTCTGTTTGTAAAAGCGTCTGCGTGTAAAAGCTTCTGTGTGTAAAAGTGTCTGTGTGTAAAACCTTCTGTGTGTAAAAGCGTCTGTGTGTAAAAGCTTCTGTGTGTAAAAACGCCTGTGTGTAAAAGCTTCTCTGTGTAAGGCATTCTCTGTGTAAAAGTTTGCTCTGTGTAAAAGCTTCTGTGTGTAAAAGTGTTTGCAATGCAAACTATTGTCTTGTACTTGTGCTATATTGTCTTGATACTCCTCTTCTCGACTGCCTATAACACATCTTTAATATATTGTTTTGTAATATGGTGCCTCCATACTAACAAGAGAAGACCCTGCTCCTCTACGCTCTCGGGCCATCCGTCGTCTAGTTTCTTCCAGGGCTATGTGTGCTGACATGCCAGTGGTACGGAATCCATTGTCTACACCGCTACAACAAGGCCCTGTGACCTCAATGCAGCAGGCGTGGTCTGAAGCTAAGCTTGCGCTCAATCAACAGTGGCTCGAGTTGTTACAGGAGATGGGATTGGCTAGTGGTTTGGTGCAATCAACTGCCATGTCCAACCATGTGGATGACCATAGGCTTCGTGTCATCTCCAAGTTTGCTCCAACAACTTTGCAATCCTTTTTTCGCATTTGGAAGAGGTGGCATGATTTTGCTCGTCAGTTGGCTGTGTGCCCTTTTCAGCCGGATGCTGCATTTTTGGCCGATTTCCTGGCGGAGCATGCACATGGACCTCTAGGGGTGGCCACTGCATACCACAAGGGCTTGACATGGATGGCGAGACATGCACAGCTGACTGAGTTGTTTCAGGCCTTTCAGCCATCCGTGTGCAAGGCCTACTTGCACTCCGCTGTCATCAGGGAGAAGCGCGAGTCGGCCCCTCTGCCGCTGTCATTTGTGGCTTTTCTTGAAAAGATGGTGCTTTCTATAGGACAACCTCAGCTTGTGACATTTTGCAGTTGGGTTCATTGCTTTTCTTGATATGGAGCAGCTTGCGATGGTCAGATGCATTGTGGGTGGACCCACAGTCCATTACAATACAACAACATGCCATGTTTGCTCTGGCGTCCCACACCAAGACGACCAACAGGGGAATGCCGATAGCATGCTTCGCCTTTGGACTACATGGTCATCATAGTCAAGCGTCATGGGCTCAGGTTTGGCTCAATGTTGTTCAGCAAGCTTTGCATGACACACAGCAGTTCTTTCCTACATTTGCTGTGGATTTCTTGCTGACGGAAGTTGGGCCAGACATGGCGAAGCCCATTTTTCTGCGTCCAATGCGACGCGACAGAGGTTTGCAATTGTTGCGCTACCGGCTGTGCAAGTGCCATGAATCTCATCAGGTGCAGGCCCAGCCTTCTGATTTCCACCTTTTGGGAACACACTCTTGCAAAACAACATTGCTTTGCTGGGCCCAACAACTGCAACTGCCTTTGGAACAAAGACAACTTCAGGGTCACCACAGATCTGCAATCAATGGATCAGTGGCCTTGTACAGCCGCAATGACACTTTGCCGGCCTTATTACTTCAGTGCACTGTGGCTCAACGCATTGCAGAAGGATTCAGACCGCTCAGACCTATGCTGCGGGGAGGGTCACCCTCACTACCGGATTTTGCGATCCAATTGCCACCGTGGAAACCATTGAACTTTCAAGTGGAACCTCAACCTGCCGTGGCTGACCAGATGCCAGCGCGTGCTAGTGAACCTGTGGATCACCAGGCTCAGTCATATGCTGAGGATTCGGAAGCATCGGAGGAGTCAGCCATGGAGGAGGATCTTCCGACCAAACTTGCTGAGGCCCCAGAGGAAATGGTTTTTCTGGTGAATCCTGTGCCCAAAGTGGCCCATCTGGCGATTCAGTGTGACAGCTCTGACCGAGCCAAGTGTTATGAGGACACTTACTTGCAGGTATTTCGAACTGGATGTGGGCTCGCCCCAATGCAATTTCCGGTGACTTGCAGTTCACCCATTGTCTACCTGTAGGTGCTCGGCTGTGCCTCCGGAGGGCATGTGCCAAGATCATGTCACATGTTGCTTGAAAATGGAAAACAGCCGCTGCTGCAGTGTGTGTTTTTTCCATAGGGTGAACTCATTTTTATTCGCATGATTCATGCTTCAGTTGGCCTCACCGCAATTTCTTGCCATTTCGATCAACACCGCTGTGTGGTCCAGGCATGTCACACCCTGTGGAGGTCTAGGTTCAAACTGTTTTTTTAGCAGATTCATCTCTGGCGATTGGCTCCAGGTTTGGGGGCTCACTCGTTGACAGGGTTATGTCAAGAATGGTGCAACTTTCATGCAACACCTTATAGATGTGATGTCAGTTGTTTTCCATTCACTGGGATTTTGCACTTTCGTTTTCATGTCTAGCTCTGGTGTCGCAATGCCCGCTGGCTCTTTGACGACTTTCAATAGCCGCTCAACGGAGATGATCGCTCAGGCGGTTACGTTTTTTGCTGGCTTGGTTGGCACCCCAAGGGCATAACGCGCTGCAGCGCTGTGAAAGCGCGAAAGAGGCCCTGAACCGAGCCTGTCAGCTCCTTTCGGTCCATGGATCCTGGCCCTGGCTCCCGAAAATGGCTTGTGTCCTGGCCAGGACAGTTGTCGGACTTCAGTCTGAAGTTGCTCGACTGGAGGGTATCACTTACCGTTCCTGGGATTTTCACCAGCCATCAAGAGCCGTACTGGACAGCATTGCTGACCTTTCTCATGAAACCGCTGTTTTGTGGCAGTCCGAATTGTATGCAGCCGCTCTACTTTTTGATGATTTCGCTGCGGAATTGGCAGCCAGTGGGCAGCATGCAGTTCGGGGCACGATCCGTCATGCAGCTGATGGCACACGTGATCTACATGACCTTGTGGGGGTGCACATCACCAGAGTTTCGCCACTGCCTGGGCCTTCGGCCTTTTTTGCAGTATTCGGTGTCCAGATACCATACTAACTGTGGCATCCGTGAACTTTTTGTATCTCAATTTGATTTCTCGGCTGGCCCTCTCGGAAAAAATGTGATGCCCGAATTTCAAGACCATTCACATTACATTGTGGCATGGTATCACCGCTGTGCAGTGTCAGTGCATTGCATGTGGATTTTGAATTTTTGTTACATGTCTTCATCCGGGATTCAATTGCTGACCGCTGTCTGCAGATTATCCACCCACAGACATGTATGTTTGGGGCTCTCAGCACTGCTCGCACATTTGTGTGTTGGATGGCATAGTCTGATTGTTGCAATATCCATTCTTTTCATTGCATTGACCCATGTGTTTTGACATCTATTTGCATCGACATTGACATTTTAATTTCTTTGGTTTCGGTAGGCGCAACTGGCTCTGGATGACCCTCTGGCTTTGAAGAAGCTCTTGGGGGACTGTGCCAGCTCCAGTGGTTGCCCATCTTGACCATTTAGGATACCGGTCAGAGGCACTGCTTGGTTTTGCAGTTCCTAGTGATGGTCAGTTTGACGAATTGATTGGAAAGCTGATGCCTCGTAACTTAGGGGAAAACGTTGACCTGTTGTCACCAGGTGCTGCTAGCCTGCGCCGTGTCATTCGTCAATGTTTTGAAGCATGCCAGTCAAAAGGTGGTGGCATGTCAAGTGAACCAACACTTGCTGCCACGGTCAAACCAAAACTTCTCTGGCGGAATACAAGGAACTGAAGACCAAGTTTGGTAAGCATTTTGCAGGTGAATTGTTGACACCGGAGTCGACACCTAGTTACATGTTTCTTGCTAGTCTCAAAGGCCAAATTGATGCAGGTACATGGACATGGACACCTTGGAGACATCGCATTTCTGAATGCTGAAATACTTTTTCAGGAAAATCGGAAACCTCGCTCTGATCATCAGCTGCTTCAACGAATGCTGAATCAACAAGACTTGATGGATTTCCCAGAAGCTAGCATGCCCTCAGGTGGTCCTGTTGAGCCTGTTTTGTTGCGCTTTCAAACACTTCTTGCAAATGCCCTTGCAATGTTGCAGTTGGTCCACTTGATTGTCGTCAAGGAATTTCACCATAAGTTCAATGAGCTTGCACTGGCCGTACTTGTTGATTCAACATTGAGATCTCCGAATTTGCAGGAGGTTTTGGCTGCTGACAAATCGGTTTGGATTGCAGTTACGTCAGCCATGAGGGATAACAGTTAGTCATTGAGTGACACTATGTCAGAGATTACACTGCCGACGGGACATGCAGACTGCCCTGCAACCTCGCCCTCGCGCCCATCCAGCTCCGGTCACTCCAAAAAAAATTGGCCCTAAGGTGAATCCGAACAAAACTAACACACCTCCTCCAGTCAAAAAGGATGATCGTTTGAATGATTGGAATGATAGCTGGGTGCGCAAACACAATGATCCAAAGAGCTGCCCCTGTCTGCAAACCAGTTGCAAGGTTTCCTGGATGATGTGCGTGATTTTTTGGACTTGCCTGATTCAACATGGGATTCAGCTTTACATGTCGCCCCAGGCCAACCTTTTCGTCTGGGGCTTTGGAAGTTGCTTTTGCGGGAGATGGGGGACCCGGATTTCCCCTTTCTGGATGAGTTGCATACTGGTGTTCGCCTGGGAGTGCATAATGAAATCCCTGTTTCGCCATTGTGGCCTATGCAACCATCCACCATTTCTGATCACCAAGACTTGATACAGTGCGAATCATCTTGGAAGAGCACCTTGGATCAACCAGATGTGGTGTGGCAGTTTCTTCAAGAAGAGATTGATGGTGGTTTCATTGAAAGGGTCCCTGGGGGTCTTGCCCAGCTACAACAGGACCATGAGCATACAGCTGTGGGCAAGCTGGGCTTGGCCTGCGCCGACAACAGCGAAGGACCTGGCCGAGAACAAGGTCGTGGACACGCGTTGGGTCCCACCCTACAAGCAGCATGCAGGCTATCTTACGAAGCTGATGCTTGCCTGGTTATGGGTGGGATTCACCAACAAAGGCAACAAACGTTTGATCTCGCCGCGCGAGACAACCGAGGACGCCCAAGAGGAAGACCGAAGGCGTGGCCTTCGAAAAGCCCAGCGGGAGGGCCGCAAAGAACGCATGCGCAGGACGCTCCCTTCCACAAACTTGTTGCCCGGCTGCGTCCGGTGCCAAATCCGCCCGAAGTGGTGGAATTAAATTCATTTACGGCACATCATCAACATTACCCTTCTCGGATGTGAAATCGTAATGGTGCTTGTATTTGTTGCTTGGTGACGCATGCCTACTTGTAGATGTGTTTACATGCACTGCTGCCGTTGCTATGTCGAGCTTCGGCTGTGTTGCCGCGGCTGCGTCCGTTGTTTCGACTTCTGGGGTTGCCGCCGCGCCCCAGAACTCCGCAGATCCTTGTTCAAGTCGTGCCACTGCTGGCCTTTCAGAATGTCAAGTGTGTCCTACAATGGTGGGAATTCTTGCGATTGCCGTGATACAAGCGTGAATGAGAAGGGTTTTGTTGGATTTATTTTGGTGTAGCCCATTGCGTACGCATGTGTTTGATTGTTGTGGGGCATGAATGATAAGCGTGATTTTGGAATCATGCAGCCATGCATTGTACAATGTCGTGGCTGTTTCGGGTTATGTTGGTCTGGGTTAGTGTGAAATTGAGTACCAAAAACACTCGTTCTCACGGCTGAGGCAATCCGCTACACACTTATTTGTGGCGAGGTGTTCGGTTGCATGCTTCCCAAGTACGGCTTCAATACTTCATTACACACAGACACATCATATCCTAACCGCACTCAAAACCTTTCTCCTCTTCGACACAGAGCCTTTGTTGCTGAAATATCTCAATCAAACATCGGCCTCAGACCTTCCATTCAAATGTCAGTGATTGTAACTCCAATATTTTGTTTCGGAGCTGGAACCGGGGCCATACACAAACCAGGTTGGAGATGGATTTGCGTAAATGTTTACCTTTGTTGTAGGAGAATTTGTTGTATATGAACTACTGGAGGTGCCGGAATTATAGAACGGAAGTTGAGGAGTACGAAGATACGGTTATTTGTTGTTCTATAATTCTGTTTTCCTCGGAAGGTGTGAAAAAAAAAACGTATCTGAATTTACTCCTATTTTTTTTCGTCGTTTTATAATTCTTGTCGGAGCGCTGCTGTTCTATAATTTTGTTTTCCCCCATTTTTCTCACATTTCCCATTTTCGTTCTATAATTAATGTTTCCCGGGCCCCGTTCTATAATTAATTTTTCCGTTCGAAAAATTAATTATAGAACGGAATAATTAAGTATAGAATTATAGAACCTTTTCCGGAGTCCCAGAAATCCTACAAAATCACCATGAAATCTAAGAAAATCACCGTGAAATCCCATAAAATCACCGTGAAATCCCATAAAATCACCATGAAATCCCATAATATCACTATGAAATCCCACAAAAACAATATGAAATCTCAGAAAATCACCATGAAATCCCATAAAATGACCATGAAATCGCAGAAAATCACCATGAAATCTAAGAAAATCACCTGGTAAATGTGGAAAAATGGGGGAAAACAGAATTATAGAACGGAAGTTAAGGAGTACGAAGGTACGGTTATTTACCGTACCCTGTTGTTCTATAATTTTGTTTTCCTCGGAAAGTATGAAAAAAACGTATCTGAATTTACTCATTAAATCTTCATTTTATAGATTGTATATGTACAAATATGCAGTAAATATCAAGTCAGCGCCAGAAATTATAGAACGGGGAAATTTAATTATAGAACGGGAAAATTTAATGATAGAACGGATCCCCGTTCTATAATTAAATTTCCCGACTCCGCGCGGAATGGGAACCCGGAGGAGTACAAAGGTACGGTATTTTACCGTACTTTTGTACTCCTGGCTCCGTTCCACAATTCTGGCACCACCTGAAAAGGGTTGTTTGGCATGAAATACCTAATGTTTAGAACATTTTGGAACAAATTCACACAGAACAATCTTTTAAATTTGGACATGGTCCCACCCATGCTTGACCTTACACTGGAAGGTTGCAACATATAAATATAAGC